TTCGCTGTGCAGGTGTCAGCACAATCCTGTGGGCTTGAACATTTATCCTCCCTTGCAAAGCCTCCGACCACTCTAGGAAGGAGCACACAGCTGCCCCAGAGTGAGCAGGCACTGACCTGGCTGGGAGCAGCGGGCAGCAGGTGAGAGCACAGCCATGGCCACAGCAGATGGGGGAGGCGTGACATTGCGTGGCAGGGTTATTATTTACTGAGCGCTCGTGTTTGTCATGGCTGAAGATGACATCTTATTAAGGAGTCATGACACTGGGGGATTTTTTTTAAGCCCGAGGGCCAAGAAGGCTAATGAACAGGGATTGCTCCAGGAATAGAAGGAGGGCGGTGCCATTTGCAGGTCGCAGGCGAAGCTGACTAATGGTTCCCAAACCAATTGCTGGGATATTTCCAGGATGTGGCACGGCTCTCTGTCCCTGCTTAGGGGTGGATGCTCCTGTGCCACGGCCAGCTTCAATGCTGTTGTGCTGATGGAGGTCTGGAAAGGAGCAAAAATGAAAAATACCTGATACCCACAGCTAAAGATGCCCACACTATGCCCTACTAACAAGGGCCATAGCGTGGCAGGGAATGGTCCCCAAATCCATGCAGGGGGCTTGAAGGAGGGCTTTCAGAACACAAAATGCAAGACATTGAATGCAGAAGCCAGATGAAGAGCAGAATGGGGACCCTTTTCTTGGTAATAGCACCCCGTGTGACACCAGCACAGAAGTGGGGCTCTGCCCTGCTCTGTCCACCCCCAGCAAAGCCCTCCTTCCTCACTCTCCCTCCCTCCTCCTGAAACCAGAGCTGCCTCCCATGCGCCGGCTCCTTATCGCTGCCCAGCTCTGTCAGTGCAGATGCTTGACTAATGTTCCCTTGTAAAATGTTGTGTTAAGCACATTCCAGCTGCTGACATTAAATACTTGGGCCGGGGCAGCAATGAACCTCCGGCGGATGGAGCAGAGCACTGAGCCATCCCCAGCCGCACGCCTGGTGCTGCCGCAGCAAAAACATTGGCTCTGTTCTGCCCCATCTGCCTCTCCCCTGCCCTCCAGCCGGGCAGCACCACAGCTCTGGCAGATGAAATAATAATTACTCTGTCCACATCTCGCCCTCCCTTGCATTCCTCCGTGCTAACAGCTCAGCTTATTTTGTTTTCATTCACAAATATTGACTCTCTGGGTTCTTTTCACCCTGTGCCTATTAAAAAGGCATTGCTCTTATTGTTGTTATTGAATTTGTTCTGCAGCTGGGAGAGGCATCCAGTGGCTTCAAGGCGATCGCCTGCGCTCCTGCATGCCAGCGCAGTGCCTTCAGTGCTCTCTTTGCCCATGGGACAGGAGCTGGGGCAGGATGGGTGCTGCAGAGATGTGCTTGCTTCCCAAGGTTATGCTTTGCTGCTCCTTGACTCAGTTTCCCTGTTGCGCCTTGAGAATCCTGATCATCCGTGCAGTGAGTACTCACGGAAAGATGTGCCATTGCTAATGCAGTTTTGTTTGTACTCAGTGCAGCTTGAAATTGTGCAATCCATTGACTTGTAGGGATAACAAGAGTTTGTTTCCAGGTGCCTTAATCACAAAATAACCGCCTTGTTTTCACTCTGAGCTTAATTATCCCAGCTACTAACGAGCGTGGCAGCAATACCCATCCAGCCCCAGGTATTTGGGATGTGGCTGTGGCAGGGTGCTTTTTTGCTTCTCCTTGTTGAAGCTTTCGAGGTGTGGGGTGCACATGTGATAAATCTCCCCTGGCAGAAGGCTGGGACCAGAACCACAGCTTGTGTGTGAGGAAAGCCCATGTTCCAACAGCTGTGCTCAGCTCTGGCAACTATCCCAGAATAAAACCGATGGGCACCACATTCCTGGGGCCTCCCCTCTGTCCCCAGCCATTGCTCCAGGAGAAATCCTGGAATGCTGGCACTTCACCCACATACCTCACCTGATTCCCAGATCCCCAGCTGGGAACGGGGAGCTGGGATGTGGGAGAAAAGCTGTGACATCACTCTGGGATGAGTGTCCTCATCAAAACCTTGCCCTGTCCTTTGCAGTGTCTCCTGCTTCTCCACTGGACATCAGACAGCTGCCTGTTTGTTCTGGGACACTTTGGCATCCTTTGCTCACACATCTCCTGTGGCCTCTGGGGGAGGACAGGAGCTCTGGGGGTGATGTCCATGCAGATAAGGAGTGACAGGTCTGCATCTCCCCCCACCAGCTGGCTGTGCTCATCTGTCTGACAGCTCAGCTGCAAATCTGCAGAGGACTTTCTGTGCTGAGCAGACTGACTGCTCCCTCCCATCCTCCAGCAGGCCTCTGGGTCTCTCAGCATCAGCTCCTTCACACTGGCCTCCCCCAAGGTGCCCTTTACCTCCCAGTCATGCAGGAGATGCCAGCATCACCCCCACCATTGCCATGGGGTGGGCAAAGCATGCTGATGGGAACATCACGTGGAAGGGGATGAGGATCATGAGGTGTGCAGGGATGGCCACAGAGTCATGATTCCATGCTGAACAAGTTGCCTCCTGCCCTGTGATCAGCCTGCAAAAAAGCTGCCTCCTCTTCCCAGTGCCTGTTCACAGAAAGCAAATGTCAGCATTGCCATGCCCAAGTGTTTATTTTCGCAACAGTGGAGGTCTGGCCAGCAGCAGGACATGGAGAGGTAGATCAGCTCCTAACACATCCTACTGAGAATGTGGCCAGCTTGGTGGGTGCTTTCCTCCTAGCTCCAGGCTGCATGGCATCAGGTCCATCACAAATACATACTGTCATTGTAGCAGCCTGCAGGAGAGTAGCAGCCTGCCCATGGGTACCACCCTGCACCGCACTGCTGGCCCTGCCCAATGCCTGGGGTCATTCCAGGCATAGCAGCCCCATGTCCCTGCTGCAGGGACGGGAGGAAAATCATTGCTGAGGAGTGTCCTGTTCTCCTGACCTTTGCTCTCAAAATATTTAGGATCCCACAGCGTGCAGTCACAGGCCTTGTTCGGCTTCAGCACGATGCCATTTGCCTCCCGTCTCAGCTGTCCCCAGTAATTCATCTTGCTGAAGTGGGAAAGGGGAGAGGCACAGACAGGGCCCCCTCCCAGATCCCCTCTGATCTCAGCAGACCCACATACCTTGGCCGCCCCCTATCCTAGGCCTGCCATCTCCTGAGGCTGCTGCCCTGTTTGGTTCCTGACCTTCATCTCTCAAGCCAGTGGTGGTGAAGGTCATTGGATCGAACCCTCTCAAAGGTTTTGGTATTAACAAAGGTTCATTAGGGGACAGCTGGTGTAATACGCAGGAGAAGTCAGAGGTGTCTGTGAGCCACAAAGAAGCAGCTCTGGATCCCATTTTAGCATGGGGGTTTTTGGTCAAGGGCCTGGGCTAGTGGCCAAATGAGTTGTACTGCTGTACAGCCATATGGGCTGGTGGCCATATGAGTCATGCATGTGCTGGAACTCCCAGCCCAAAATGAGAGCACTCAGGCTGATCCCTCAGAGTTATCCAGAAGAACCTCCAAGAAGTGGAGCTAGAGGAGATCACTTTGATCTCTTGGTCTCTCTGTTCACTGTTTATGGGGATAGAAAGCCAAGGAAGCTCAGATTTTGTGTGCAGTGGAGCTCTGTGGGACAATGAAGGTGTGTCCGACCCTTCCCACCTCTTCTGATAAATCTGGAGGAGTCACGAACCAAAACTGTGCATTTGCAGCCTTTAACAGGAGAATTTCTCTCCTGCCTTTCCTAGACCAGCACTTGGATGAAGCTTTATGGGAGTTCTGGCATGGATTCCATTAGGCAAAATACCAGAACTTATAAGTGCAGTAGGAGTTGGCCTCTATTCCTTGAACACTGTTGAGATGAATGTACTGGCCAAGAGGTCACCACTGACTGGGAGGTGGTAATTAGGCCGTGCATTGCTTTAATTTTAATGCAAAATCAGTAGATGACACTCGCTGGGACCATGCATTTAAAGATAATTTAACAAACTCAAACTAGGGGTCACCCCCCTGAGTTAACACACCCAGTCAAATAATCCCTATCCACAGATGGCTTTCCTACATATAGCCCTCTGCCCCTCAAAACTGGAGCTCTGCTCTACAGCTATGGGGAGGAAGGAGGTGTGTGTCCAGTTTGAAGGGGGAGAATAGAGGATAAAAGTTGGTGGCAATTTCTGCATGAGTTCATCTCCAATTTTCATCTCCAATTAGGAAAACAATAAGCTGTGATGCTCACAGGTGCTACATTTATTGACTATGATCATAAAGGAGTATTTGAGATTAGGGATCCTGATGTTGGATCCAGTTCTCCTGAGGCTGTGGGTCCAGGCTGGTGTTTTAGCTGGGAAGCAGAAATCTTGAGTGAGCAAAGAACAATAAATGAGTGCAGTGTTCATTTGTTATGCCTCTGTTAGAAGGGTTTTAAATGTGGAGCCCCAGCTGTAGAGAGACAGGTTAATAATGAGGTGAGGCTGTTGGGAGTTTGATTGGTTTTTAACTTTGTTTTGGAAAAACTTGAGTATTTGTGGAAGGAAAAATGTCTTATTCACTTTCTGAAGCTATTTTTAATGGGGAGAAAAAAAGGCATGAACTGAGCTTTTTGTGTGTAGCCAGTGTTTCTTCCTTCTCCATACTGAGATGGTAGGATAAACAGAAGAAAAAAAAAACAGTCCTAGAAAACCAGTCCATCTGCCCCAGTCTGTTTGATAAAATTATTTATAAAACAGTTACTTCTGAGATAGGTGTTGCTCCTTTGTGAAATACATAGGTTAAAAACTCTGTTTTGGTGAAATGGAACTTTTGCTTTTTAAAACTAATTTTGGCAGCATATCTTCAGTCTTTCTTGAGGGTCTGTATTGGAACTGCTGAGTCACAGCCTGAACCACTGATTGAGCACCTGGGGAAAGGACTGGCTCAGCCCTGGGAGCACAGGTGAAGGCAATTCAGCTGTGTGATCAGAAGGGGTGGAGCCTGGCTGCACCTCTCTCAGACCCCATTTAAGGGCTGACTGCCACTGGGGAAAGATCTCTTTCTGGAGATCCCTCCTTAGTGAAGTTTTCCATTGTGAACCTGGAATCTTCTGATATGGGTAAGCAGACTTCTTCCTTTTCTTTATACCTTGTATCATGCTAGTCCTTCCATCGTTGCACCTTTGTTGTAATGCCTTTCTGTTTTGTTGATCTGTCCAATTGCTACAGGGTCCTAAACTGCATTCACCCTGTATGCTCGGAAATCTTTCCGTTACTCTATCTTGCTTCAATGTCCATCTTTTTTTCTTAGGTGGAGCACTGGAGATGTATTGCTGGAAAGCCATGCCTCCTTTCTCCTAATGAACCTCCAAACCTCCTGTGCTGTGAGTCAGTGATGAAATAACTGTCGTCTGAATAAAGCTTTTAGTGCTGAACGTGAAAAAGTAAGCAATGGGAACAGGGCTGTAATTTGTCTTTCTCCTTGGAGACGGCAGACTTTTGTGGCCCAATTGCCGTGCTGTCAGCCAGAACTGATTTGCAAATGAAGGGTCTGAAACTGTAGCAGGAGTCTATTGCTGCTCCCAGTGTCCATCCCATAATTTTCCTTTTCTTTTGTCTGCTTTATTGCTCAGGGGTAGGGCTAGGTGCCAGCAATATGACAGCAAGGGGTGAGCACTGCCAGTAGATCCATTTTAGGCTTAGCTATGAGTATCCCAGGTGAAAGGTGTTAGCTAATAGAATCAGCCTGAAGTGTCGGCCCCCATCTGCAGGAGCAGGATCCATCTGGGTGTCGTTTGAGAATGAGAAGAACCTACCCTGGATTCCTCTACCCGTTTGCAAAGACATTGGCTGTAGCTGGGATGGTCTATCTTTCATGTACCCACCAGAATTTTCTTTAGAAAGATCTTAGTGACTAAGCTGGGTAATTAGAGGGTGGATGGAATGGAGCATTAGGACTTGCAACCTGACTCTTTTTTTTTTTTTTGCTCAGGTTCTAGGCTGCCAGCAGGTGGGATCTGTGATCAAACAGGATATAACAACTTGCACCTGGATTACAAGGTAGGGTGCTTTATTGTTAATAAAAGAAAAGCTCCAACAGCTGTGGCAAGCAGCCAGCTAGTTTGTGGCAAATGTGACTGGTGGCACTACTTAGGTCCTAAAATCAAGAGAGAAGGATAGGTCCTGAAATCAAGAGAAAATGATAGAACAGCTTGGGTAGTGTTGCCTTCAAGAAACCTTGGGGAAAATGTCTGTTTGTCATGGATTCAGAAGTGAAGAAGTGTTTCTCATCTTGGAGAGATGAGTCTGAAGCTGAAGTTGATTGTTGCAATATATTTATTGTCATAGCTTTGCTGTAATACTTGTGACTGTTTTCCTGATGACCTTAGTTCTCTTGTATTGTTTCACAACTTCATCTGGCTGAGTTCTTTGCAGTGCTGCTTAGGGCTTGTTTTCTCTCTGTCTGATAAATGAGTGTCCTCCTCTCAATTTGAGGGTAGTTGTGACATGGATGGCAGTTACCCCTATTTTTACCATTGGTGTTTTAAAAGAGCTCTTTGTGTGTTTTTGTTGTTTAAACAACTTATTGGGATGTGAATTGTTTGCAGATAAGTGTCATTTTGTTGTGTAGACCTCTCAGTAATGGCATTCAAACTTCTGGAGATAAGGGACTAGATAAACTTACTATGATGCCTGCTAAATTGCACCACTTAATTAATGCAAGTTTATGGGATCGTTAAAACAACAAAATCTGAGGCTTTGCTGGGAATAAACCTACTGAATAACATCTGTGAGTCTCATTTCTTTGCAGTGTTCTATAGTGGGAGAAGAGGTGTTCCAGCAGTGCATGAAACAGTTTTGAAGTCTGAGTTTTCCTATCCTACCATGTTGCTGTAGGATGGGTGGGTAATTTGCTACAGGTGTTTCTCAGTGGTGAACAAACTGTGGAGATCAGGTGTAGCTGGAAGTGAATTAAACACTAACTCAACAAGCTGGGTCTTTCAGCTCTGCAGAACTAAGCTGAAAAACTTCTTTTCTTGAAGGAAGGATGTGTTGCAGTTTCTGTGATTCTTAGGAATGCCTCCTTCTGGATGGGCTCAACTGTAAGCAGAGTAGAAACTGTGCTTGTCATCTAATGTGCATTTCCATGTAGCTGGAAGCTTCACCAGATGATCTGTGAGTTAGGAAGAAAAACAGCTTCAATCTGGGGCTACTGAACACTGGGGAGTGCATACAGTGTTGTAAACTTCATGTTACTTCACTGTCTAACAACGTCACTCAGTGGCTTCTCCAGGACTCTGGATGTGGTACTGGCATTGGTTTGAGAAGGAATGGAGATATTTCATAGGGAGAAATGGGATCTGATTTTCTTTTTGACTGATTTATCTCCTCAGTGAGCTGTCAGGATCCTAACTGTTCAACTTTAGGTCTGATTTTTAGATGGTTGGGGAGATCACTTAAGGCTATGTAGTATTCTGTAGTACTCTATTCTCTATCTGAAATATGTTTGTTCTCTGTGTGTTTTCCTGTGTTCTAAATAGGCTGTACACCACCAGAGGCAGTAGTCCTAACGATCTTTTAATTAGTTGTTAAAATATGGATTAAATCTCTCACTGATAGAGCGAAAAACTTTCAGCAGATATTTCTTGACCCTGCTCTGTCCTGGTGTCTGTTACTCATCTTTGGCACAATCAGAGAGCTGAAACCAGACTCCTTAAAATGCTGGAGTGGTTGTGTTCAACCTGGTGTTAATTACATGTGTCAGTGATATTTAAGTGGTAGAGAGAGGGGAGATGTGCCAAAGATCAAGTTTTGCTGGGCCAAGATTCAGAAGCAAAACAGGACATGGCTTTTATAAGGAGAATTCATCCTTGGCAACTTCAGCTCTATATCCTGGAGACCAGAGCCCGCAGAAATGGGCACTGCTTAAGTTGGCTATGCTTTGATTCAGAAGGCAGCGTTAGATTTGGTGTTGTGGAGTCTGGCAGAGTGGGGATGAGCACATTTCTGATGTGCTTGGTTTTGGAGCAGAAGAGCTGAGATGATGCCTTGTATCTAGGCAGGATGTCTTCTGCTGGGAATGAGACCAGCTGCCTTGTAATCTCTTGACCAGCTCTTGGCATATGAGCTCCAGAGCTCTACTCTGAAAATATCCAGCTTAAACTGTAAAGCTGCTTCTGACCTGTTTCTTAAAATGTAAGGCAATTTTGCTTTAGCAAAGGGAAATAAGGCTTTCCTGAGCAATGAGTCCAGTGAAATATTATCATTGCAACCTTTACATCTTCTATATCCTTGTGCCAAGCTGTGTCTCATTCCCTAATCTCCTAATGATTTTCTGGGCAAGAATATCTACAGATGCATCTGTTTCTGAGCTGTTTGTGGTCAGCTGGCTGTATTTCCATGTCTGTGGGGCATGGGAATTGGCTTCTCTTGAGGATGTGAAATAGGCTTGCTTTCTTTTATTCTCTGCTTCTGCTGCCTCCCCATCTAATTCACAGTAGTTCTGTCTGAAGTTCAATAATAGATCAAGGGATCTAAGTGTGAGCGTGTCCAGTATTTCTAGAGGAAATGGAGAAATCAATGAAACTTGCATCAGTGGTTTTTAGACTCATCTTGTAAGGATGAGAAGAGTTAAATGTCTTCATAAATGTCTTCATCTTAGCAAGACGAGCTTGATGATGTGGCTTTGTTAGTATGAAAGATTTGAATGACACCAATCCATGAGTGAGGGTCTCTACTGGAGAAATGGCAGGATTGAAACTCAGCTGTTAGAGACTGGGGGTGTGTGGTTTGCTGGAGTGTCTTGGGTATCCTCTCAGTTTCCCTCTGGAGGCCTTTCCATTCTGTAGGCTTTTCACATCACACTTTGCAATTCAGTAATGAAGTTTGCAGACGAAAGTGCATCAGAAGGAGGAGTGTGCTGTACAGGTCTGGTTCTTGCATTATTTCTGAGTCTGTTGTAGTCCTGTGGCAGCTGTTGACCAACAGGGCACTTGCTAGCTACGCCAGCATCAAATTTATTCTCATATGCTTTCAGTGGGGCAGAGTAACTTGTAACTAATAACTAAACTACACAGAGTTATCCTGTATAGGTTAAAGCTCTCCTTGATACCTTGTGGGCACAAGTTTCTCCTGAAAATGGGATGGGACACCTTTTTGGCTGCCTTTAAACCTTGGAAATGTTGCTGAGATTTTCTGCAAAAGGGGAACAATACAACCTCAGCTTAGAAGTTAATTATAGCAATGGAAATTTTTCATACAGATTTTTCTGATGTGAAGCTGGTATTGCTTTTCAGCAGGCTAGAAGGTTTAGAAATGCCACTTTTAATGAAAAATGTTTTAATGGCAAATACTTTCCACACTGTAATGGTTTTTCTTGGGTTTGTCTGAATCCTATTGAACCTCTGTATTTCTTTTTCAGAGTTATATGTACCATGGTTTGGCTCTGGATTTTTTTTGCTCTTGCTCAAATGCAATACTAGTTTAGGTGAGGCAGATGCCAGGGAAATCATGGGAACTGACTTTGGTGATTATACAACTTCTTTTATTGCACTTAGACTGTTTGTGTTGAATGTTGCATGAAGACTATTCTGAATCTTGGACTAATGGATATTCATCTGCTCTACCCTGGACACTCAAATTCTGGACCTTATTTTCCTCTCTGTATTAAACTCAATTTGAACTATTCCTGATTTATCTGGGCTTAAATTTAGGGGGGTTCTCCTAACAATTGATCCTGCTTGGGATGTCAGCAGCAGGTATCATCTCACAGATGCAATCCTAAAGCATTTTGTTGTTGGGTGGTTTTACTTCTTCATTATTAATTTTCTATTCTGTAGTGAAATCTCCTCTTATTCTACTCTGAACTGTGATTTATTTTCTGGGCTTGTAGAATCTCATGCAGTGGTATAGTCAGAATTCAGATACTGTTTGCAGAGCTGATAAAAGTCCTCCAGCACAGTGCTGTGCCATGGCATGCACCTGCCTTTGCAACACCACAAGTAATAAGATGGTGAAACTCTGCCTTTTGATGTAATGATCATAAGGTGGGGTGGAAGGGTGACTAAATGCAATTGCTGTGAAGGACAGGCTCATCCGTGTCTATTGATCATGGAAGCCTTAACTCTGTAGGAAGCTCTACAGAAAGATGAAGTGCTGGGGCACCAGGAATCTGGATGCAGCGCCCTTCCGGGAAAGCTGAGACCTTGTGCTGTTGGTGGCTTTTAGATCACAGCTATCTTTCTCATGTTTGCATCACCTGAAGATCTCTAAGACCATCCTAATGACACTGAATGATGAGGTCATGGATATTGAGAGCAGTCCTCTTCTGCAACCCTTCATGGCTAGATGTATGAGTGAGAAATCTGGAGTGGCCCATGGTTTTGCTTTCAAGGCTGCTTTTCAATGTTAGGTAGTCACTCCTTAGTTCAGAGTAAATCATTAGCCCTGGAATCAGAGTCCAACACTTTAGAGCATAGGAAAAAATGATCCCTACATGTTTTTCTCTTTTGGGTTCTGTTGGTTTGCTGAGGTAGAAAGGTCCAAGTTAACCTTTCACTTCTATAGGGTATGGATGGAGGCTGCCATCCCTTCTGGTTTTGCTATTATCACCATGTGATTGTTCAAGGTTTTGTGGCCATCTCTTTGTCTGCTGAGTTCTGCAAGATAAGTGGTGGGCATCAGTGTCCAAATGTTAAATTTTCTAACTGTAGGAACAAACTTAAGGAGATTCCTAGTTCATAACATCCCAGGCTGCAGACAAGTGCAGAAGTATTTCCTATTGTAACCATCTTTTTGAGGGCACAAATCAAGTCTATTTACAGCCTGGATCATAATATACTCAGGAATGAGTTATGAAGCCTTCTTCAGCACCCATAAATCTCAGAGGAGAAACAGCATCTTCAGCACAGTACCCACCCAGGCCAATACCACTTCTTGCAGCTGGAATTAATCATGGCATTAGGCAAACAACAAGGGTTCATTAGGACCAAAGGTGACTTTAATTTAATTGAAATATAACTTGGCAAGTAAAGAGGCGATCCAGTTCACAACACCTAATG